TAGCCCGGCAAACGGGCCAAACAGCCTGCATGCCGTATCAAACGACAACGGCCAATGATGCGTGAACTTTGCAGCTTCTCGGGGTATGGTAGTTCGAAGTACCTTTTTCCCCCGCAAGGATATCCACAAAGCCACCTGGAGATCACCTGACCAACACACAGAAAACCAAATCGATCACGTTCTAATCGATGGGAAATTCTTCTCCGACATTATCAACGTCCGCACGTACCGCAGTGCGAACATAGATTCGGACCACTACCTAGTTGCAGTATGCATGCGCTCAAAACTCTCGACGGTGCATAACACACGTCGAAGTCGAACGCCGCGACCCAACATTGAGCAACTACGGGACACCGGAGTTGCCCAGGACTACGCGCAGCAGCTAGAAGTTGCACTACCCACGGAAGAGCAGCTTGGCGCAGCTTCTCTTGAAGATGGCTGGAGGGACATCCGTTCAGCCATAGGTAGTACTGCTGTAGCGGCACTAGGTACTGCAATCCCGGACCGAAGAAATGACTGGTTTGACGGCGAATGCAAACTGTTAGTAGAGGAGAAGAATGCAGCACGGGCGAGAATGCTGCAACACCGCACGAGATTGAATGTGGAGCGATACAGACAAGCGCGGAACAGACAAAACTCGGTTTTCCGAAGGAAGAAGCGTCAGCAGGAAGATCGAAATCGCGAGGCGATGGAAAATCTGTACCGCGTAAACGACACACGGAAGTTCTACGAGAAGCTAAATAGTTCGCGCAAAGGCTACGTGCCGCAAGCCGATATGTGCAAGGACTTGGACGGTAACCTTCTCACGAACGAGTGTGAGGTGATTGAGAGGTGGAAGCAGTACTATGACGAGCACCTCAACGGTGAAGCAGCAGAAAACGAAGGTGGCACGGCAACAGACCTTGGAGCACGCGCAGAAGACGACAGGCTACCGGCCCCTGATCTTCAAGAAGTTGAGGAGGAGATCGGTCGGCTGAAGAACAACAAAGCAACTGGTGTAGATCAACTACCAAGTGAGCTATTGAAATACGGTGGTGAAGCACTGGCTAGAGCGCTGCACTGGGTAATTGCCAAGATTTGGGAGGAGGAGATATTACCGGAGGAGTGGATGGAAGGTGTCGTATGCCCAATCTACAAAAAGGGCGACAAGTTGGATTGCTGCAACTACCGCGCGATCACACTGCTGAGCGCCGCCTACAAGGTACTCTCCCAAATTCTATGCCGCCGACAGTCACCATATGCAAGAGAGTTCGTGGGGCAATACCAGGCGGGATTCATGGGTGCCCGCGCTACCACGGACCAAATTTTCGCGATTCGGCAGGTTCTGCAGAAATGCCGCGAATACAACGTGCCCACACATCATTTGTTCATCGATTTCAAATCCGCATACGACACAATCGATCGAGATCAGCTATGGCAGATTATGCACGAGTACGGATTTCCGGATAAACTGACGCGATTGGTCAAGGCGACGATGGATCGAGTGACGTGCGTTGTTCGAGTATCGGGGACACTCTCGAGTCCCTTTGAATCTCGAAGGGGGTTACGGCAGGGTGATGGACTTTCGTGTCTGCTGTTCAACATCGCGTTAGAAGGTGTGATCAGAAGAGCTGGGATAGACACGAGTGGCACGATATTCAGGAAGTCCATCCAGCTCCTTGGTTTCGCCGATGACATTGACATTATGGCACGGAACTTTGAGATGATGGCGGAAACGTACATCAGACTGAAGGCTGAAGCTAGACGGATTGGACTTGCCATCAACGCATCAAAGACAAAATATATGAAAGCAAGAGGTTCTAGGGAAGACAATGTTAGCCTCCCACCCCGAGTTCAGATTGACGGTGACGAAATCGAGGTGGTCGATGAGTTCGTGTATTTGGGCTCACTGGTGACCGCCGAAAATGATACCAGCAGAGAAATTCAAAGACGCATTATGGCAGGGAATCGTGCCTACTTTGGACTCCGGAGGACGCTCCGGTCGAATAAAATTCGCCGCCGCACGAAGTTGACTGTCTACAAGACGCTGATTAGACCGGTGGTCCTTTACGGCCACGAGACCTGGACTATGCTCGTGGAGGACCAACGCGCCCTTGGTGTTTTCGAACGGAAGGTGTTGCGTACCATCTACGGTGGAGTGCAGATGGATGACGGAACGTGGAGGAGGCGAATGAACCACGAATTGCACCAGCTGCTGGGAGAACCATCCATCGTCCACATTGCAAAAATTGGGCGACTACGGTGGGCTGGGCACGTCGTAAGAATGCCGCACGACGACCCAGTGAAAATGGTTCTAGAAAGCGACCCAACAGGAACAAGAAGAAGAGGCGCGCAGCGGGCAAGGTGGATCGACCAAGTAGAAGGTGACCTGCGGACCCATCGCAGACTACGAGGCTGGCGAAGTGTGGCCATGGATCGAGTAGAGTGGAGACGACTTCTTCGGACAGCAGAGGACAACAAGGCCTTAGCCTGATTGGTAAGGTAAGGCCTAGGTTACTGCCTTGCGGGACTCCCGAGTTGTTTGAGAAAACATCCGATTCCGACGCGCCAATCTTGACATGTACATAGCGATTCACCAAGTAAGATCTGAACCAATCCACAGCAGTTGACGAGATGCCAAGTATCTCCAGCTTGGCCAGCAAGATATTATGGTCCACCGTGTCAAATGCAGCTTTTAGATCCATATACGCCGTATCGACTTACCATCCTGAATCCATGCATCGCAGACAGTTAGAACTGAACTGCACCAGGTTCGTGGACACGGAGTGCTTCGGGTAGAAACCGTGTTGTTCTGATACCAGCAGAGAAATTCAAAGACGCATTATGGCAGGGAATCGTGCCTACTTTGGACTCCGGAGGACGCTCCGGTCGAATAAAATTCGCCGCCGCACGAAGTTGACTGTCTACAAGACGCTGATTAGACCGGTGGTCCTTTACGGCCACGAGACCTGGACTATGCTCGTGGAGGACCAACGCGCCCTTGGTGTTTTCGAACGGAAGGTGTTGCGTACCATCTACGGTGGAGTGCAGATGGATGACGGAACGTGGAGGAGGCGAATGAACCACGAATTGCACCAGCTGCTGGGAGAACCATCCATCGTCCACATTGCAAAAATTGGGCGACTACGGTGGGCTGGGCACGTCGTAAGAATGCCGCACGACGACCCAGTGATAATGGTTCTAGAAAGTGACCCAACAGGAACAAGAAGAAAAGGCGCGCAGCGGGCACGGTGGATCGACCAAGTAGAAGGCGACCTGCGGACTCTTTGCAGACTACGAGGCTGGCGAAGTGTGGCCATGGATCGAGTAGAGTGGAGACGATTTCTTCGGACAGCAGAGGACAACAAGGCCTTAGCCTGATTGGTAAGGTAAGTGCTGTCAAAACATTCCAGAACGGACCGGCAGGAGCACTGCAGTAAAATAAACAGTGCGTCCAGATATTGAATGATTAAAGCTTTATCTGTCAAAAGATAAGTTATTATAACGGAATTAAAATTAAATAGCTCAACCCATTCAAAAGCTCTACATACGGAATTTTCTTAAAGTTATGAGGTTCAATAAAATTAAAAGATATTAATTAAAAATTTGATTGATATTTCGAAATTATTGTTCATTGTAAGCTGCTTTTGTTAACAGTTTGGAAAATTTCGGTTCGATTGATTTTGAAAAAAATAAACAAATCGTTAACAGTTGATAATATAAAGATTTTGGTAATCTCGGACATAAACATTTACATTCAGAGAAATGTTATTGTTACTTCTTAGAATAAATTTTCATGTTAATCTCTCACTACTGGGACTTGATTTTTTGTATTTTTATACTTGTAGAAAAGATACAAATCACAAAAAAAGCAAGATTCAGGATTTCCCAAAGGAGATCTTCGAAGATCCGCACTAAGATCAGGGTGTATTCGATAAAAATGGCACACCGAAAATTTTCTGTAACTTTTGAACCGTATGAGTAAAAAACCTGAAAATTTAAGTAAATCTTATTCATAGTGTATTGTTCACATCTTTCAAGTTTCATAGTTATTCCACAGAGAACAGAAGTCCAACTTCGGTCAGAAGCTTGTGTAAAGATAAGTGGGAACATCGCCGTTACGTGGCGCTAGCATCTCCTGATTTCCTCTATAAATTTTCCACTTTCGACCAATTTGGCGGTAGTATCGATTGCTGATTGCTGTTAAAAACTGCCACTTGGCGCTACCATCACTTAGTGTCTAGTGTAAGTTGTGCAACACCAGCGCCGTTAGGTTATTCATACAGCAGTTCCAGTCATGTCGTCGAAACAAGAAATTGCACGTGAAAAAAAAAATTTAGCAAAATCCAGATGAATTCTCACATGACCATAATTTGAAGAGCCTCTTTCTCATTCGAAGCTCATCGTCACTGTCAATTGAGTCACTTACTATCATTTGAGGGAGTTAGAAGGAAAGGGGTGTAAGTGACTTTGATCGATTCTCTTCATCGACTTTCTCTTTTGATAGTTTGATGAAGGAGATTCTCATCTAGCATCCAGATCGACACACGAATGTGTTTGCAGCTGAATTTTTAACCAAAGAGAAAGTCGATGAAGAGAATCGATCAAAGTCACTTACACCCCTTTCCTTCTAACCCCCTCATTTGATATAAGACAGCCTAAGTAACCCTTATAAGTTCTGAAGACCAAGATTTAGACCTGTAGCAGGCTTGCCTTCGTCAAATGACTAAGCAAGTGATATCACCCGTTCGAAGGCGGTCCCCTTTGGAAGCAAATAGCTGCTTTTCTCATTTTCATCAAAAATGATCAATTGATTTCGAAAATTGCATACAGCACTGGTGCGGTGTGACCTACCCCTTGGTGGAACTAGTCCCTGATATCAGAGATTATGAAATATTTTCAAGTCCGGTGATATTCTTGCACGAACTTTCCGACATGGCTGATGTGCATAGGATAGAACAAAATATCAGTCTTACCTAGCAGTCGAAAGCATAACATAAAATAAAATTCCATATACTTACGCCAACCGCGGTGCCTGAATGCCATCGAACGTCGCGTGCAGCGTTCCGAGCAGCAGCTTCTCGATGTTGATCCGCTTTGCCTCGACAAACTCCAAGCAGCCCGCATTATCCGAGGCCAGGACCTCCTTCAGCAGCTTGAAGGCCTTCTTCATCTGTCGCCGCACGTTGGCATTGGTTTTGGCCACCGTCTCCTGCGATTTGTCCCGCTTCAGGATAACGCTAATGTACCGCTGGTAGATGTCATCCAACTTTTCTCCCGACTGGTACAGGGAAAGTTGTTCGACCACATCGAACAGCATATCGTAGATGAAGGTTCCCGGTGCTTTGGTGGTCAGTTCGTTCAGCGCTACGGTGTGCATCTCTTCCAAAACTGGGCGAGGAGTTACGGACAGGAAGGCTTTGATCGTATCGAACGCCGCTTGGCGGACTTCGTTCTCGAAGCTTCCTTTCGGTTTGGTGGTGTAGATGTTGAACAGTCGAGGAAGGAAGTTTTTCGAATATTTTCCGATTTCTGCTTTCTCCGCGTCGGTTTCCAAGTGGGGGATCAGCTCCTTGAGACCGTCCAGAATCGGTGACCGCAGATCGGGGTTTTCGTTGAGGACGGTTCCGAGCGTTTTGGCGATCAGGCGGAAATTTTGAATGTCCTTCGGGCGGCGACAGAAGCCGGGGAAAAGACCCCACAATTGGCAGCAGAGCAGTTCGAAGATGTGAGCCTGTTGTTTATTGTCGGATTCTTTGAATTTGTTCCACAGAACGTAACACTGGTAGGCTAGCTTCAGGATGACATTATTGAAGATCTCCAGCCGGGATTGGTTGAGGCCTTCCCGAAGTAGTGGGAGGACCCAAGTTCGGTCCAGATCGATTTTGCCAGATGCATCCGCCAGAGGAATACATTCCAAAACCAGTCCTGTATCCATGGAACCGACCGCCTGAAGAACAGCGTGTTCAATCTGGATTCGGGTGGACGATTGTGGATCGTATCGATTTCCGAGTGTTTTGAGAGCAGGAGCCAGTACGTCCCCGAAGTGACGGCCGGTAATGTCGAAAGCTATGGCCAGGATAATCAGAACCTGGTTTGAAGCGTGACCAAACGGAGAAGACGTTAGCACTTCCGTAATGGATTTCAATACTTTTTCGATCGGAACACGATGCTTTTCGACTTCGTCGTCTTCGCAGCATGGTTGAACGCATTCGTACAGGATATCCTTCAGGGCATTGGAAGCCGATGAAACTACTTCCATCTTGTCCGATCCCCAGAAATCTTGAGTGCAAATTTCCACGAATCTGGGAAGGGCACTGCTGCACATTGTCAGATTGAATTTGGCCAAGAATAGATGTCCTTCTTTCAGGACCGTTAGCCAGGCAATGGTCTGCTTGGAATCCGACCTGTCTGGTCGATAATCATACAGAGCAGCGATCAGCTTACCGGCCAACACGGGTGTCAGATTTTCCGTCTTGGACGAGAACAGCGAATGGAACGTCTGGAAGCAGTTGGTTCTGATCAAAACGTTCGTTGCCGTCATTATCGAAAGCAAACTTTCCGCAACCAGCTTGATATCATCCTTGGAAAATCCTGGCAAAGCATTGTGAAGCAAGCCCAGTGTATGCAACACCAGCGTTTGATTGTTTCCTATGTTTTCTGACTTAAACTGTCCCACGCAGAATTTGGCTACTCGACTTCCCACCGGATGACATTTGACCAACGGCTTCGGAGGCTCACCATCCTCCATCTTATCATCCTGGTCACCTTCCTTGGTTTCAATCTTCGGTGGAAGCATGAAGCAACTTCCATGAACAATGGCAACCACTGCATGCTGAGCAGCCTTTCTGACCTTCGGTTTCGTGTGAATCACAAATGCCAAAATAGAATCGAAGAACTTCAAAGTCGACGAAAGCTTCCATTGGGAATATTCCTGCGCTCGCAGCAGAACCGACAAACATCCAATGATGCTTCGAACGACATTCTGGTTGTCGGAATCTGCGTAACGCTCCAAAAGATTCAACAAAGTTTGACCCGTTTCAGAGAACTTCTTCCTCAATACCGCCTCCGGGACCGACTTTATTCCCATCGAGAGAAGAGTTACGGCCGCAACCGTATCGTTTTCTTCCTTGGTCGCATCGACCGTTTCCATCAGAGCAAGGAAATATTCCGTACTGCTTTGAGATCCTCCCTTTTCCTTGATGACCTACAATTGAGAAACAATCAGCACCTACATCAATTGAAGTCACAGACCGCAACCTACCTCTGTTAGCGCTGCCAAAATGGCCAGCATATCCTTCTGAACTTGCGAATCCGCCCGAAAGTTGTTTAACAGCTTCTTGAAGCTCATATTACTGCAAGCACTAAAATTCGATGCAAAAGTTTGGAACGTCTTGAACGTCCCCAATTGCGACTCGGTCATCCCATCCCCTTCCACCCCATCGTTCATGCTGAACGACCGCATACTCGCTGCAATTTCATTCACCGTCGGATCCACCTTCTTTGTCGCACCCCTTCCACCGCTATACGACTGGATGGCTTCATGTTTCAGCACCGCTTCCAGCGTCAACTTGCTGGCCTGCGAACCATCCGACTGCTGCGCCGGGGCCAAACTTAAGTTCGCCTGGAAGAAACGACTCTTTGCCTTGGCCCGGTGTTTGTTCGTTTCCGGATTGGAAGTCGATGCATGACCGCGGGACCACCGTTTGCCTCCCACTTTCTTCTTTAGTTTCGAACGGAATTTACTCATTTCGATAGTGTACAATTATTTCATGAAGTTTTCACGGATTTTCACGGCTTTTTCACGCACAAATCAGACTGGAAAAATTGGAAGTCGCACACGCGGCACACGATCTGTGATGGCTGACAAACGAAACAAAAACAAACGTGCTCTCCCGTCGGTGTTTGCGGTGTTTGCGGTGGGGAGAGCTGTCAAAAAAAATGTTCGAGAAAGGTTACGGTAACGGGAGTAACGTTCGCTTGAAAGGGCCGTATGCACTAGAGAGGGTCTAGTACACTCAGAAAAAAAATTAAACTAATTAGTTTAAAAATCACACTAAAACGCTATTCGCCTGGTTGACCCCAGGCTTCGTTTAGTTGCCAACAAAACGAGCCTAGTATAAACTTGAAGTATAAGGGGTATAGTTTATCTTTTGAATATTCATGCGTAGTTTACCGGTGGATTATCTATACAATGTATTTGATCACTGTCCTTTTAATTTTGGTATTTTTATTGATTGAAAAGCAATAAATTCAAACAATGTATAATTTATTTTCTTAGAAAAGTGAAAACCTTGGTGAAGCAATCAAATCTTTTGCAATCGTGCTCCGGATCAGACTCTCTGGTCGACCGTTTTCTTGGTTCGGATTTGGACCCGAGAAGCTTTAGTTTGAACTGCTTGGCAAAGGATTTCTGGGCAGGCGTTTTGGTACGTACGATCTCCTGTTCCGCCGAGGCATCCGTTAGCATATCCGTGTCGGAACGGATGACCTCCTTGATGGACTGCAATTCTACCATCGATTTTCGACGCTGCTTTTTGTTCAACTTCACACGATAGTTGAAATCGAACACGGTCGATAATCCGGCGGAGAATACTTCATTCTTCGGAGAAGTCAACGATTTGATCTTTTTCGAGCTGAGCTTCTCGAGCCTTACGACCGGTATGGCTCGAAGCAACTTTTCGACGGAAGCCCCTCGTGGCAGTCAAATCTTCTTGACCAGTTACCAGCTCCCACGAGGCATCCCTAGAACAAATGAAAAATATTCAGTATTCCAATACCGATTCACCCACCTCCGCCTCACTTACTTTTCCGGTATATAAATCATACGCTGCTGCATCTCCTGGCTAAAGTCGTCCTTGTTGCTGCACAAAGGGCACTTGAGAAAGTACCCCGCCGAATGGGGAAGCTGTGCCACGCAGCTCCGATGGAACCAGCCATTCGGACAGCACGGGGCACGAATCGATTCCAGCTTCCTGTAGGTCCCATCTCATCGTTGCAAATCCCACCGGCCTCGATCTCAGAGTATTTCACCTTATCCACCAGCGCTACGAGCTTATCGCACCACGACTGGAACGTATCCATGGATCGCACGTATGCAACAGGCACCTTTTCCGCATCCCCCAGAGCGTGTGAAATTTACAGAAGCACTGCTCTACGCAGCAAGTAACGGTAGCATACCGCTCCTTGCAGATGTAGCACTTTTGTCCTCGGATACGAGCTTCCTCATTCCTGATGTCCTCCTCCATGAATCCGAAGATTCCCTCCTCGTCTTCCCCATGATGGACCAAATTCGACGTCAGCAGCTGAAATAAATTTCCCATTAGCTAATCATTCACAACCTAACAAATGTAAGCAAACCTACCAGACAGCGGTAGAGCACCCGAATGCGCCACTTTTTGTGAAACACCATGAAACTCAATCCACGGATTCCACGTAATAGTCAGATTATCCACCAGTTCCAGTCTAATCGACACAATTTCCATAATATGCACTAATGACCGCCAGCTTGGACCACGGTAAAAACAAAAAACAAAACGCGCCACCTACCCACCTACCGCTTGCAGCACGACTAATCTAGGTGTGGTAAGAAATAATCACCCTAGACATGAATACTTTGGGAAGGCTTTTTGACTGCTATTCATACTTGGTATAAAGTTTAAGTTATGATAGTGTAAAAATTTAATCTATGGAGCGTATACAACCGGTGAATTTGAAAAATGTTTATTTTTTAATCTATTAACGAATTGTATTATTTTTGAGTGTATGGATTTTTGTTTTGAATCCGCTTCTACACAGAAAAAAAAGTTGTTGGATATTACATCCAAACAGCTCCCTAATAAAAAAATTATCACACACGAACGATAACCCAAATGATTGAACTATTACACAAATGGTTTGGATGGTACCCCGAACACGTCGTTAAGCAAATTAACCATAACATTTTTATTAGGGCTGCACTCAAAGATAAATTAAATCAAAAAAGCTTAAAAAGTATGCAGATTCCCGCTTCACCTTATTGAGTCCGAGCCATGATTACTTTGGCAGTAGTCATGCATGATTAAATACGAAATAATCTCTCCAGTATTAAATTTTATTCTTTTTCAATACTGATATATCATTCCGTCTCGCACGCTGAGCCGATCAAGTCGCATCGGTCTCGTTGTACGACACTATCATTTAGTTTTGAGTTTTTCCCCACGCGAGGGTTTTTTCTCGCCAAAGTTAATTGGCATAGTGTTTAGACGACTAGTGCGCGAGTGAGGAAGCCGTTAATGATATGCCGAGTGCTTTCATTACGGTCCAGCTTTAACCCAGCATCATCGCAACATCATCAGCAAAATCATCACCACTATCGGTACATCACCCCATCGATAGCAACAACGAAAGAGCGTCATATTGCCTACCGAGTCGACCGAGGCACACCAGCATCGAGGTTATTGACTCTGCAGCCGTTGGATCAAACAATTATATCTCTCCAGTCTGCTGCCGCCTCAGTGCGTTAGGTATAAATCGTGTCGTTTGTATTGTTCTCGCCAGTATAGCATCTTCCTTGTTTCCCTGGTCCAATATTAGATTGGTGTTTAATTAGGGTGATCCAAAAATCCAATTTTTTTTTCGCTTGATTTTTTTTTCTTGATTTTTTTTTATTATTATTTTTGTATTACTTAGGGTGATCCAAAACTCTGTAAATAGTATATAATCATTATTTTTTTTTTATTTTTTTTTTTTTTTTTTGATTTTTTTTTCTTTGCATGTATTACTCGTTAGTAGAGTGAAACTATATATATATTTTTTTTTTTTTTTGATATTATTTGAAATTACTGCAATTATTTGTAAATTTTTTTACAAAAAACACCATTGCGGCGATATTTAACCGCAATGGATGAAAATGATAAAGGCGGGGGATGGTCGCTTTCCATCTCAGACGACGAAACTCTTAATTCCACCTCACACGAAAGTCTCGAGGAAGTTGTGGAAATGGAAACCCTTGACGTTCCAGTTGACTCGCTCTCCAGCAAAAATAATGGAGCATATCCCAAGAAAAGGTATCGCCCACAACCCTCTCCCCCACCATCTCCTCCTCGTCCACCTGCACCCCCCACACCATTGCCCCCAAAAACCTCTGCGCTCCCCCGCCTAAAGGCTTACCCAGAAGCCTCGAAAGGCCCATGGGTTGTTTTTTTCCGGCCCAAACAAAAACCTTTGAACATTCCGAGGATCTCTAAGGATCTAACAACACATTTTTCGGCCGTTACCGATATTTTCAAGGTAACACCAATAAAACTGCGCGTTACCGTTGATGACCGGAAGCAGGCTAACCAAATTGTTGCGTGCGAGCTTTTTTCATTGGAATACCGAGTCTACATACCCAGTAGTGAGGTAGAAATTGAAGGAGTGGTCACCGAAGCGAGTTTGACTAGTGATGATTTCTTGGGTCCCGATTCCTTCGGAATCTTTAAAAACCGTGCTCTGCCGAAGGTGAAGATATTGGACTGCCTTCAAATGCAGTCAGTATCCGTAGTAGGCTCCAAAAAAACTTATTCCTTGTCAAACTCGTTTCGTGTGACGTTTTCGGGTTCAGCGTTACCTCACTACGTCGCTATTGGCAAGGTTCGGCTGCCTGTACGCCTGTTTGTACCTCGGGTAATGAACTGCTCGAAATGTAAACAACTTGGTCATACATCGGACTACTGCTCGAACAAACCACGCTGCGATCAGTGTGGCGAGCAACATCAAGAGGGCCCTTGCGGTGCTCCACCAAAATGCGTGTACTGCAAGGAGAGCCTGCATACCCTGACTAACTGCCCGAGGTATAAACAGCAGGGAGAAAAACTTAAGCGGTCTCTGCAAGCTCGCTCCAAGAGAACACTAGCAGAACTCTTGAAGAATACCGCTTCATCTTCTCAGACCACACCAAAAAACAGTAACACGTTCTCCATTTTGCCAGTTGATGATCTAGACTCTGACTCAGAGGGCGGTGAGGGTAGTCCGTTTGTCTTTAAAGGCAATACGAGAAAACGAGCAAAACAACACACCACCGAAAAGCCTCGTAAGGCCACTCGTACGGACCACCCTTCCACCTTGGAAAATTCAAGAGGTAACGGAAATACACCGAAACCCATTCCACCGGGTTTTAAACCTTGTAATTATGACAAGAACTTTCCGTCACTTCCAGGATCATCTAAAACCCCAGATGTCCCAGTTTTTCGGCCAGAAAAGCAGCTGAATAATCAGCAAGAACATGCCCCCATGTTCACGTTTTCTGGTATTGTGGATAGCTTCTTCAGTATATTCAATGTCTCTGACTCAACGAGGAGCATTATTAATTTAGTGCTGCCAATGGTGAAAACTCTTTTGAAGCAACTAGCTTCTAGGTGGTCCTTCCTTGCATCGATCATATCTTTCGATGGATAATTCTCCGAATGAGGTCGGGGATATGATCTCTGTTCTTCAGTGGAACTGTAGAAGTCTTATGCCAAAACTTGACACATTTAAATTTTTAGTTAACAACTCACTTTCTGATGCATTTGCCCTTTGTGAAACATGGCTCTCTTCAGACAACGATCTTGCTTTCCACGATTTCAACATTATTCGCCTTGACCGCGCAGATTCGTATGGAGGGGTGCTTCTGGGGATCAACAAGCTCCATTCCTTCTACAGAATCGATCTGCCTTCGGTGACAGGCATTGAAGTTGTTGCATGTCAGGTTAATATTCGAGGTAAATGCCTCAGTATTGCCTCAGTATATCTTCCACCGCGAACTGCGATTTCTCGTCAAAGCTTCTCGGATATCTGCACGGCTATGCCGGAGCCACGGTTGATCTTGGGAGATTTTAACTCTCACGGTACAGGCTGGGGG